AAGCAAATAATCTTGTTGGCCCAAGCCTATAGTTCCCCTGTGAGCTCATTTTTGGGCCCTTCCACAGTTACATTCACATTTATGGTGATTCTTTTCCAGTCAGGCCTTAAAAGTTTGACTGGGGCTGAAATTCAGCTGACATACTTTGCAAACTACTTGTAATGAGATGTTACCTTGAAAGAGGTTAAACTGCAGTGGGTAAAAATGAAAAGCAAGCACAAACTGTAGCTCTGAATGAGAAGAGAGGACAAAGTTAGTTTGAAGAAGTTTTAAGTATTTTTAAACTCCTCAATGTGCCATGTAACAACATTCTCCTGGTATTTTGCATTTCTGTAAAAGCATTCTAGGATGAATATATTGTTTTGTTGCCCTACTGGTTTGGTAATAAAATGTGGAACATCTGAGAATAATTGGAATTTTTCTGATTCTTGGACAATTTGAAAACTTGTATTTTGGAATAGCATTTTACTCCTATGGATTCCTCCAAGAGGTTTGTTAAAGGTTTTTGCCCCAAAGGTGTTTGCTAACCTCAGTCATCTTGTTTCACTTTTGATGTTGTGAGGTCAGTTGATTAGGGAGAGGGACTTTTAGTAGAAATGTTGATTAATGAATTTCCAGAGTGTAACAAAATGTATCCACACAGTAGTCATAGATTCTTACGCAGATTGTTCTTCGTGTGCTGCTCATAGTTCATTACAAATGCAGTCTGTGATGGCAACTAATGGCAATATACACATTTGGAAAAAGAAACTTGTGAAGCTGTAGAAGAAATTTCTTGTATTCGAGATTCTTGAAACAAAAAAAGTTAAGGTTAACTGGTGGAGGAAAAAAATCTCTGGACTTGCTTCATTTCCCCCAGCACACTTCCTCAGTTACTGTCCTGCTTATCTTTTGTGAGATGTGTAAATTGCTCTACCAAGTCTGGCTGCCCTGGAGTTGGTTGTCAGAGGTTCCACTGTCAGGGTAATGTGGGCTGAGGGCAGCAATGATGTGAATGATATGTAGAATTTTCCTGAGACTGAGAGGTTTTAATATGAGATCATATTAAATGAGATTTAATATGAGATCTTCACATGAGATACTGGCAGTGCCTCTGAGATTATTAAGTGTGCTGCTGGTTTTTTCCTTAGCTTATTTTGTAGCTATGAGAACTGTTTCTGTGCGATTTGTAAAACACAAATTCTGACTTCTGGTGGTTACTTTTCATGGGAAACGTTTTATTTAGAAGTTTATGGATGCATCTGTATTAGCAACATTCTTGGTAAGAAAAAAAATCAAAGCAAATAAACAAAAAAAACCAACCAAAACCACAAAAACGAGCAGGCAAAAGCCCAAAGCCAGAATCAGCTGCCTGCTGAGGATGAAACCGGAGGATGTAGCTGTCTCTCTAGAGTTCCTGTGGGACCAGGAATGTCAGGGAAGGTGCGGAGGGTGCAGAAAGCGTTTCCACCAGCGGAGGGCAGCAGTGACCGGCCGGCAGCGCTCAGCCCGGGGAGCCTGGCTCCGCAGCCGGCATTTCGGGAAACACTGTCCCTGCTCCTTTTCATTGCAAAAGAGACTACAGATTGCTGTGGAATTCTGTGCAATTTGAGCTTGGAATAGGAATTTTTTGATTGTCCTAGGAAAATTTATTTTTAAGCTGTTTCTTTGCACTTGTGGTACAGATGCTTGAATTAGGTAGTGAGGAAATTTATTGGGAGACCTCATCTGGTAAGCCTAAATGTAGAAATAGTAGCTCCTGCACTGTTGATGTATAATTCATATTTTGCTGCATTGTCGATGCTGATGTAAATTTAACAATCTGTGATGTCTTGCCCTTTTAAATTTTGAGTGAAGCTTCTTTATCTTCTGTCTGTGCTCAACAATAAAACTACTTATAATTTCAGTTCTAGTGCAAGAGTACTTCCTTGGATATTTTTTGAAGCAGAGATTAGTACATCTGAGCTAAAACCACTTTGATACTACTCTTTTTCTTTTCATAAAAGAAGTTTGTCTAATATCACATTTCTTCTACATAATGGTGTAATTATCTAAATGATAAAATAGAAGGCCTTGTTATTCAGCAGATAATCTGAGCTAATGTTAAGTAGTTTGAGAAAAAGAATACTCTCCTGCATTCTAGTTGTCAGTGGTACAAAGGGAAGACCTGAATCTTGTGTAGGTGGTATTGTTACTGAAACAGTGTTTCTTTTCATTATGATAAAAGTTCTGAAAAGCACTTATTTTAAATAAAAATGAGGAGCAAATCACAGAAATAACAAGAAATAACTGATAAATATTCCTGAGGATAGAATGTTAAACAATGGAATGTCACAAATCTTGAATATTATGTGTATGAATCCTAGTTTTGGACAATTTTTCTTTAGGCTATCTTTCTGTGGTTTACTTCAATACTGAAGTGGGCAAGACAGTAATATTAGGTCCAGTAGAAATAAATTTGTCTCTTGTGGAAAGTTCCTTCTAAAGAATTGTAATCAATTCCAGGTGTTTGTGCTTATTTAACCTCGGGAACTGATGAGATCAGAAAAGCTTTTTTAATATATGCAGTATAATTCTAAATCACTTTTTTTATTTATGACTGCTGCAAAATAAGGAGGAGACTAACATAAGTTGTCTTTCTCTATACACTGTAGCTAATACCCTATGGAGAGGGTTCCAGGAACCTATGAAACTTTTCTGAGGTCCATCAGAAGTAGCTTTCAAGTAGTCAATTCTCAAATGTAGCTCCTTTGCAGATACAAAAGTTCCTCCTTCAGTGTAAAGAAACACAAGTTTTTAACGGTAAAAAAATACTACTTACTCAAGACTAAGATTCAAGTTTCCCAAAGCAAGGTAGGAATGCCTCATTGAGTAACTGCATTGGATCTGGCTGAGCTGGAGTTCATTTTCCCATAGGAGCCCTCAGAGTGCTGTGCTCTGCATTGGTGGCCAGAAAGGTGCTGGTAGCACACCAGTGTTTGGCTGCTGCTGGGCAGGGCTCCGCAGCATCACACGTGTCCCTCCCAGTTCCCACACCACACCCAGTAGGCTGTGAGTGAGAAAGATCTTGGGAGGGGACATAGCCAGGACAGCTGACCCAAACTGACCATATGACCTCATCTGTTCAGCTAAGAGAAAGGAAATAATAATAATAATGAAAACTCACAGAAAGGAAGGAGAGTGTGGGAGGTAATTGGTTATTGTGACGTTTGTCTCCTGGAGCAACCACTGTGTACTGAAACCCACCTTCCTGGGAAGTGGCTGGATATTGAGTGCTGGTGGGAAGTAGTTTTCCTTTGCTTCTGTGTGAAGTCTTTGCTTTTGCTTTATTAAACTGCCTTTTTCTTGACCCATGCAGTTTTAAAAACTTTATTTTCTCCCTCCCAGCCCTGCTGAGGAGGGGAATGATAGAGCTGCTTGATGGGTATCTGGTATCCAGCCAAGGTCAACCCACCACAGTAGTACTGTAATTGCAAACAAAAAGGAAGTTGGTTTGAAAAAGACATTGAGTTATTGCTACATGTGGTGAAGATTAAGGAAGATTGCATTTTTGTATTTAATCGTGAACTGCAAACATGCAACTTTTAGCAAGTCCTGCATTGCACTAAGGAGTAATTCCTTTGGAACAACAGTAGCTGTGAAAGCATAGGTATTAAAAATGCAAGACATCCTCAATGACTCTTCATGGTCAGCCTTACAGAAGCTAGTTTGCAGACAAGTAGGGAAATAAAAAGCTTTAGTTAAGTAATCAAAATACTATATTTGTGATGTTAATATTCAGTAATTGAGGGTTGAGCTCAAACTTGAGAAAAACTTAGCCCTGGAAACTACAATTGTGTATCCAAGCTTGATTGTAAGAATTGTCCATTGTACCCTACTGACAACAGGAGGCTAGCTAAGGAGTGAAGTAGAAAATCAGAAGTATATGTGTGTATTTCCCCTCCTCCTTTTTTTTCTTTTTTAATTTTAAAGGCTTTGGTTTAAGAAGTTCCTAAAAAGTGGTTTGCTCTACCTCTGCATCAAGTAGTTCTAATGTTAATATTTCTGTGAATGTACTTTAGTCTTAAGGAAAATGGGGATGGAGAGGACTGTATTCAGAGTTAATGTAAGCTTTGTTTTAATTCCTAGAGGTTTATTTTTAACTGGGAAATTTTTCTAATTTTTTTTCTTTTTTTCATCTTGCTGGATCCCCAGCTTAAAGGAAGAGTGTACTTCAGCTAGGAGCTTCCTGATTTAATTGTGTTGTATGTAGAAGGTTAATTGGATTTTGTGGAGTAGTGTCTTTGTTTTCTTAGAATAAGAAAGGAATGGGAAATTCCTTTCTTTTTCTTGGAAAACCCATTTTGGTCTCACTTCATAAAATCTTTCTCTCTTTTTGTTCTCTGAATTCCTTCTTGTCAAGGCATTGTAAGAAGCTGAATAGTTGACTTGTAGGCAATAACACAGTCTAAAAAAGAAAAAACAAAGTTTACTTAAATCCTAGTTAAAAGTTATCTTAGATTCTAACACCATTACATTATATTTTTAGCCCCCTGTCTCCCCACACCATTATTAACAGTGTTAGCAGAAAGGTTTCGTAGTTTGTTGGAGGACAGAAATTCTGGGAACAGGAAATCACACATTTGCATTTATTGTTAAAGGTTAGTATATATGAAATATTTCAGGAGAGTTCTCTTCTCAGGTTCTTTTTAAAACGTATTTCAAGCTGATGAAATTTCTTTTGAGAAAACAGAGTTCAACAGCATTGGAATGGTTCTCTGATTATCAAGAGCAGACCATAATTATTTGATTGCTAAGAGTTCATTAGCATGTCTGTTCTGTCTGCATGGAGGACTTTAATGTAGTATATGCAGGTATATTCCAATGCTGCTGTAAATATTGGTAATCATATGCAATGATGGATGAGAGTGACATCCTCCAGAAGTACCTGTTACAGCAAAAGTTGGAAAAGAGCCAAAATGTGCAGGTAGGTCAGTGGCTGCAGGAGTGCTCTGTTTTAGGCAACCACAGCTGTTTGACTGCAGCTGTTCAGTGTGTTGACAAAACAATTTCAATACTAGTTCTCTGTGTGATTTGCTTTTGGAATTGTCCTTCTGTGACAGGCAAGCTATTCTCAAATGCATTCCTGAAATATGGAGTTATAAGTAGCATTTTCTAAGTACCTGGAAATGCTACACTCGCTGTGGAGGTATGTCTGTGCTACACACTAACCTGTGGTGGCCATGTGCTAACCAGGAAGTCCAGAGTACCAATCTTGTTGCCCCTGTTCTTGATGCAAGCAGTGACTGCTGTAGCAGTCTGTCTGCTATACTTGATACATGCTAGTTGAGGCATGTGTTCTGGGAGGGAGGGATGGAGAACCTTAGCTGGGTTGTCAGCTGCTTAGTTCTCTCCAAGCAGATGACATTCCAGGAGGATGGTCTGTATCATCTTTTAGCTTCTGTGGGCTCTGCTGTCCCTTTGGCCAGCCTGGACTGCAGGCCCAATGCTCCTGTTACTCCTCTTCCTTCAAAGAGTGTCATTGTGTCAAACACTACAAGACTGAAAGCGTTTGTTAGTATAACCTGAAATTTTTTTTTTTCCTTGAATAATTTAATAACATGAAGCTATAACTGTTTTCCTACTAGAATTCTTACTATTCTTCAAAACCAAGTGACATGTACCCCTACAGCCGCATTAGAGGACATCTTGAAAATGCAGGACCCATCAGAAGGCACTTTAAGGTACAGATCAGCTTTTATCAGATGTTTGTTATATAAAATGGTGGTCAAACCTGTTGAGTTTGGTAACAGGAGACATGCTTTTGAATGTATTAAGTGCCATGAAAAATAGTGTCATCAAAGCCTAATTGTTTCTGTTGCAGTAATGGGAAGCTTAGCTTTAGTAGGTAAGAGGGCTGGCAGTGGATTGAGCAGGTTGTCCAGTGTTGTATGCAGGCAGTTGAAATAAATAGGTTCCTGCAGAGTCAGGAATAAGAATTGCATGAATTCCACAATGACTAGAAAGTTCATCTATCCAAAACCCAAGCTGCTGAGCATTTTTTCTTCATGTGACAGAAGCCTGAACTTTTTCCAAAGGCTGGAAGATGTATGTTGTGTTACTTTTAAAACTGTTATTTTATTAACCCATTCATGTATGGATTTCTGGATATATAATGCTTGTGAATACCTGCATACTGCTAGCTATGTGTTAAAAAATATTTAAAGAAGTGTGGTTTAATTCTTGGAGCCTCAAGAGGGTAAAGAGATGGGCAAGTGTGCTTCTTTCTCAGAAGAAAGTGGCCATCTAATGTCTTTTAATCATAAAATATATGCTGGGTTCAACAGAAAAAGCATTTCCTTTTCTGTTGACAGTGGCATGCTATACATGGGTCCAGTTAGAGTTGTTGATGTGAGAAAAGTATTAATCAAATCTAGAACAACTTATAATGATTTTCCACCTTGAAATCCATTTTTAACATGAATTCTTAAAAGTAAAGCAATATACAATAGATAGTCATGTTTTCTGTTTTGTAGATAGTGAAGTAAAATTTTAAGGCTAACTAGCTGTCATTTTTGGATGAAACTTCAAAAGGTGGGGAAGTGTAGATGTGAGTTGTGAGGGGTTTTTTTCCCTTCCTTCCCCTGCCCCAGCATACGAACTGTTGTATAAAAAGACTTTCTCCAATTCAGGTGTGCTTTGCCAGCCAACCTTAGTCAGATAGCTAAACACCAACAAAAACTGCTGTCTTTATGCTGCTGGGGAAAGTATTTTTCTAAGTTAAAAAGTTCAAAGTGTTCAAAACCTGACAGAAATATTTCAACACCTAAGAAGATATCTAAGCCTATTATTCTGTATGCCCTCTGTATTGTCAACCTCCAGGTGATGGAGGAATCTGGCACTGGCTGCTGGATCCCTGAGGCAGTGTTGGTTGTTGATACTTCTTTCATTTACATCATTCTGCAGTTCTGCTGATTCTACAAGCAGGAAAGTGTCCATTTAAGTTGTCACCTCACATATATATGAATATTGCAGTACCCAGTGATCTGTCCTATGATGCTTTAATATTTATGGGGAAAATGGCATATGCACTTGTTTTGCAGTTTGTTTATGTGTATAGCACTTTTATCATTGCCATGGAAACAGTGGTGTTGATTTGACTTAGTTTCTTTTAATTTTTACATTTAAATTCCTCTTACACAACAGAGTTTTTCTTGCTGTGCTGTTGGTGAAATGGAGGTGACTTGACTATCTTCTACACTCAGGACTTCCTTGGCTAATTATTTGAAAGAACAACATACAAAGAAACAAAAATCTCATACAGAATTCTATTCTCTTCCTTCCCCTCTTCCTGCCTCCCCCAAAAAATCAAGCCCGACATGATTTTTTCTTGATATATAAAATGGGGACATTTAAGCTTAATAAACAAAAAGTGATGCATACTAAGAGTATTTTGAAAAAACATATGGTCTGCACTATGTTAAACTTTTTGGGAACAGAAAAAACTGCTGTTCTGAAATATCTTAAAAAGGATCTGGAGAAGTCTTACAAAATTCAAAAGGTCTTTTTTTTAATGGCCCTTTACCATGAATCACTAAGTTAGCCTTTAAGTAAGTAAATGCAAAGTAATATTTAAAACTAAGCTGCATTCACTGCTTAAAAAAAGTTCAGTGTATTATTGGCTGTATCAGGGTCACCCCTGCCAGCAGCTTAGCACCACACAGCTGCTGCCCACCCTCCCCTCAGCTCCCTTCTTCTCCTAGCAGGATGGGATGGAAAATATGGAGAGCAAAGGTGAGAGATTTCACAAATTGAGATGAAGACAGTTTTAAATAGTGAAGAAAAAAATGGTGCAAAGGCAGTCACTCACCACCTGTCACCAGGTGACTGATGCCCAGCTGGTCCCTAAACAATGGCTACTTGCTCCAAAACCCCCTTCCCTCCGTTTCTGTTGCGTAGGAGGAGATTCTGTGGTGTGTAACATCCCTACTCAGCTTGGGCCACCTGTCCTGGCTATGTCCCCTCCCAGCTTCTTGCCTGCCCTGGTGTCCTTGCTGAGCAGCAGAGTAAGGAAAGAGAAAGTGTTGGTGCTGTGCAGGTACTGCAGGGCAGTAACCAAAACACTGGGGTGCTACCTGTGCAGTTTTAGTCACAAATCCAAAACACAACATCATGCACTCTGCTGTGAAGAAAATTTAACTCTATTCCTGCCACACTCAGTGGTATATATATATGCTCATATACCCTTATTTTAGAGCTTCAGGCTCCTAGGGGTTGTCATTAGCATTATGTATAAAATAGTCTTAATGTAAAACCAAATGCCACTTTAGCAGACTCTTTTCTTATTTCTAGACCAGAAGTTAATGATGTTTTCCACATACTTTAGATTATCTTGTTTTGCTAGAAGCTGTGAGTGACTGAGGTGGCTATATGCCAAATGTCTATATAAACTTAACTTTGTCTGCAGCTGATGCTGTTCTACACTGATATTACTGCTGTGTCCTTCCCTCCCCACTTACAGAACATGTAGATGCTTGAGTTGGAACTTTTAAGCTGTTTCTAAGGCAATTTTCAATATCTTGCAGCTTTCCCCCATCCCTTACTTGTTCTGGTCCTTTGTTTATTGTCATACAATTGCGGTGGCAGACCACCATGGCCTCCTTTCTAGTCACTGAAGTCAAAGGGTACCATAGCAGGAGTGGGAAGATGGGAACTTATAATGCTGTGTTCAGGGTGTTAATCCAATTAAAAGTGCCCTTCAATTTTCCCTGTGATAGGCATATACCCATCTAATACAACCTAGTGCAAGGAAGTTCTTTGTGCCTGCACTCTGGTACTTTTCAGGAAATTGATTGGCATTAAATAGGCACTTGCAAGTGTCCTCCATCACAGTAGTCCTGCAGGAATGGTGGGGCCAGCTTCTCACTTGTCTCCTGCAAAGTAGGTGGATGAAATGATTTGGGAAATTACAGAACCTCTGCATTTGCATAAAGAAACCTCTCTTCTGTACAGTTCTTTCTTTATTGTTCACCAGCCACACAGTGGAAAAAGTGGTACTGAAGTTACTGCAGCTTCAGAGCATGTGATTTTTCTTGAAGTGATCCTTACTCTGTCAAAGGGAGACAGATTTCACCAAGGGAATTTTGACATGCTCAAGAAGGGCTATTTCTATGACATATTTTGTTTTTTCCTACCCTTCAAAGGTAATTGTAAAATATAAGAAAAATTTATGTGGTCAAAAGGTTTTCTCTGGTTTTAGATGAAAACCCGTTGTTTAAATTTGGTGTGGGTTTTGGTAAACTTAAAATGGCAGTGCTGGAAAACTATGGAAAATTATGTAAAATAAGGTTTTTATTATTCTAAGGATTTTTACTGCCTATTTTATTTGAGATCTGAGTGCCTAGGAATGAAAATCTTTTTCAAACTTGAGCTGCTGTGATCAGTGTTGATCTTTCTATATCCTTTCTGTGTTTTTATAATGCCTTTCACCTTTAAATCTTCTGATACTTCTGTTACCTCTGCTCCTAGCCACACTAGGTTAGCTTGCAGTATTCCAGTGTGGAGGTATCAAAGGCATAGAGGATGCCTATGTGCTCAGACTGTCAGACATTAAAGCTCTAGGAAAAACATATGTACTGACTTGTGTTGGTGTGACTCTGTAGACTCCACACAGTGTGCCTGTGCTGCAGGCTTGGTGTCACAGAATTTGGTAGTGGCAGTGTGGTGTTGTCTGAAATTTTTTTGTTGATGCAGTGTGCCTCATTAATGGTTGAAAAAATGTTAAAATGTTGTCCAATACATTTCTTTTTTTTCTGCAAGGAAGATAATTTCAGATGTTTTAAACAGCAAGTGCAATACACCAGTTCTTTGAGCTGTGTGGTCTGAGGAATAAAATACATGAACATAAAGAAGAGGGTGTGCACTTGCAAATGCATGCCTTTGTCCTTGAGTGTGGAAGTTTTACACGTGAATAGCTGTAAATATGAACTTTGGAGTTTTGGTGCCTCATTTTGCACATTTTTTTCTTCCTTTTTGCCACCCTTACAGAGTAACTTTGCAGATGGCCGTTTGCAACCCCATTATAAATCAGGCTTAGTGCAGAAGGGTTTATATATTCAGGCTAAGTACCAGCGATTGCGTTCTGTTGGTGTAAGGGGATTTGCCACTAATAAATTCAGAGATGGATTTTTGAGGAAAGAAAAGGTAAGTTGGATTAATTTATTTTTCATTAAGCCATTTGTAAAAATACGCATATTCATAAGATCCATTTTGAGTTTGAAATCTCCATGGAATTATTTGGATGGGATTTTTTGGGATATTGTCTCTTTGTACTTCACTGGCAAACTTGACTGTGCACTCCTGTTTCCTCCCTGTTTATTCTATGGGAACTTGCTGAAACTTGCTTTGGGTAACTGCAAATCAAAGGTACCCTCTGAGATTTTGTGGCTGCTTCTTCTTTCAGTATTTTTTCCTTGAGCTCAGCTGATTTCTTCCTATTGACAGGACCAGAAATTGTCCCTTTGTGGAACAAAATATTCTGTCCTGTTAAATCTAACAGAAGGATATTAATATTTTTTTTAATACATCTGTGTGGTTCTTCTTTTTGTTATGTTACTGTAATTATGTGGTTTAAAGTATGCACTGGAGTGCTGCTCTGAACAAGACTTCCTGCTCAATATAATGTCTTGTATAAAATAGTTTGGTAAGCTTAAACTGAAATAGGCACATCTGATTTATGGTGTTTTGATTTGTAGTTTATATGGGCCAACAATAATCTTGAACTGCAGAAGAACTTTTGAACCATATAAAATGTTGCAGCTTTTGTGAGGATCAGTTAAAACATACTAAATCCTTTATTAGAATTGATCAAAGTAGTATGAAGTTCCTCGTGACATCAGAGAATTGGATTAGATGACCTACACAGCCCCTTGCAGTTCTGTGCTCTGTGTGAGTTTGTGTTTTGTAACTCTGTGTCCATCCAGCTACAAGTAAATACACTCGAGTGAATAAGCATTTGTACTTTGGATTAGAGTTTAGCTCTTGGTGCACAGAAGCACCTTAAAGCACAGGTTCTTACAGCTGTTTGCAGAACTCCTCAAGTTTACAGCTCAGTTTGCAGAAGAAAAAGTCCCCAAAACTCCTTAAGGAAGCACACATGTTAAAAACAAGCCAAAATAAAAAAAAAACCAAAAAACCAAAAAATCCCCAACCATCAGAAAGAAAACCAAGCTCTTGAAACAAGGTAAAGAGATCACTTGTTGCTGAAGTATTTGGGCAAACGTCTTTTATATTTGCATGGGCTCTGACAAGTAAAATCTGTGAAGTTTAAATGGAATTTGAATTAGTGGAAAATAGGAGAAAGATATCTTCCCCCCCCACACCCCCCCAAAATAAGACCTTGTAAAATGGGTATAGAAGTGTTACAATTTTGTTGTATTTAGCTATTCCAAATAATTTCCAGTGTTCATCTCTAACTGGCTATTAAGATTCTTCTCTGGAACCTATAAAGCATACTTAAAACATTCTGGCTACTAGATATTACAGTTTGAATCAGAGAATCAGTGAGTTCTGAATTCTATTTTTATTTTTTAGGCCTGATGAATTTGAGTGTGTCTGAGTTAAAGTAAAATAAATCCGGAAGAATAAGTACGACAACCATTTTCTTAACAGCTTGCTGTTTACTGGTTAGCTAATTCCTAAAAACCAAAACTGTTGCTGAAATTGTAGCACTTTGCCTATTGTAATGATAAAACTTGTCAAGATCTGTTAAACAGGTCTGAACATCTTTATTTCACTTTATTTAATTTAAAATAACAATGCTGTTATGTGTTTTATGTGTTATGTGTTGTAATATGTGTTTTTTAAGGTACGGTCTTTTTAATTGTGCTGTTTGAATCCATAATTGAAACAATCTTGCATTTTACATACAGTACTTAGGCAGGTTGGAAGGTTTTTTTCTGCTATTACAACTGACAATAATGATTTTTTTTTTTTCCCTGTGTAGGGAAATCTAAATATTGCAACAGAAACCTGAACTGAGCTGAGATCCTGAGGTTGAAACAGATAACACAGCAAAGGGAGCATCTGTTTGGTTTTTGACAACTTTCTCAAGACTTAAAATAGGATAAAGGAACTAATGCTGTAACTTTCTTGATCAAAAAATAACTTTATTTTGAATGCTGCAGAACTTTTTTACAGTTTTAATAATTGCTTTTAAAGTACAGTATTCAATTGAAACATCATATTATGTACCTTTAGTTCTGTTTGCATATCAGTCTCCAAGTAAGGAAGTCATTGAAGGGAGTCTTATTTATTGAATACTTTTTCTCTAAGCATGATGTTACAGATGGAACTTGAGTTGTTATACCCAGAGGTTTATATGTTGAAAGTTTATTGCTAATGTAATAATAAAAAGAAAAAAAAAAGTGCCTGAATTGTTTGGTAATAGCACATTAGCTCAGGATTTTCCAATTAATGACCTTTTAGGTTGTGCAATAGATTTTACACCTCTGTTCAGTCATTTCCATAAAACAGTATTTTGTATTACTTTGGGTTAATAATATACTTGGGTTTCTGATGTGTATATACATTTGTAAATTGTTAGAACATTGGGACAACTTTCAGCATTTGATTAAAATTAATGGTAACAGGCAGGTATGTAAAGTACTGTAGCAGTAACTTATAACTGCAGTGAAAGCATGCTTGGGTCTGTTAAAAGATTAGTTGGTCTCTATTCCAAATTATTCTGTCTCATTATATTTTGGTGTATGAGATTCTTGACCAAGCCACATGTTTTCTAATTTTTTTCATCATAAATGATTTGGTGATTTTGTGAATTCTAAAACTGGAGCCTGAAGTATTCGATTACAAGAAAAACAAGAAGTGTAAGTTTTTGAAAGCATGTCTTCTAACAAAGAAATTGTTCATAATTGAAACTGCTTTAAATGCAGATAACTGGTGATTTTGTTCAGAATGAGTCTCTGAAGTTCACCGTACTGCAGTATTGTTAGGCTGTGTGCAAAACTCAATTGTTAGGCTGTGTGCAAAACTCAAATAGCCAGACCTGTTTCATAAGCAGCTATAAACAGTATTGTATTCATTTCCTGTTTATAGCCTTTGCCTTAATTCATTATCTATGGTAGGGGTTTGTGTGTATGTATTGCAGATTTGTTTGGATTTCTTATTGACAGTAAATTAAAGATACATAACACGTAGTCTTAAGAGATGTTCTTTTTCAAGAAAAAAGTTGTTCACAATATCCTCAATACATGCAGGCAGATGTATTTCCATATAGAATGCAAGCTAGTCTCTGTTGTGGCTGGTAGACCAGAATTCCAATTCTGGGTTAGAGGTATGTTCACGGAAAAGAAAATTTGGTTTTTTTGGGTGGAAAGCCAGAATGTGATTTCTGCATGCTTTTTTGTAATGTTTTTTTCCACGATGCCTTCAGTAGAGAGACTGTTTGAAAATGTAGTTATGGTTCAGAACAGCTAAAATTACTGTGACTTGAGCTCCTCAGTTCATGGGTGTTCTGCTTAATGTTCATAGAGAATAAGGCAGGAAGCGTGCAACATTCATTGATGTCACCATCATTCAATAACAGATGGTTTGTTTCTAAAACACTGAAGTTTTCAGCTTAAATAACAATCATTAATAATTTAACTAGTTTTTCAGTAACCCTGACATGCATAGACAAAATGGGAAGTGGAAGGGAAGGAACTCCCTGGACAAATAGAGGCAGGCAACCTTTTGCAGATAAGAAAGTGGTTTTTTGCTTAATGCTGTCAGTGATGAATCTGGCAGTTATCCTGTGTGGATTTACTGGGAGATAAAAATTAAGAACTGAAACAACAGGTTAAATGAGTCAACCCCAAGCAAATGTGGAGTAGCTGCAGTTCTGATCAGGCTGCTGGGGAGTGCTGCACATGCCCTGCCAAGGGGGACAGGTTTGCCCTGAAACCAACAAGAGCAACAGCTCTGCATGTGCACTGTAAAAGATGTGAGAAATGAAACCATATATGATATAGGACAACATAAGAGGCTATATTGTCATATTCAACAGGCTACTACTGTGTCTGTAAGCTTCCTGCAGTGTTCTTATTAAACTCTGGAAGAGAACTCTTTGTTGAACAAATGGGAAAAGTGTATACATGAAGAAACTTCTGACATGGTAGTTTTGCTAACACTGTTTGGAAGTAATGCTGGAGTAGTCAGACTTCAGTCAGTTAATGCTGCTTTAACCAGGTTTCAACATGGGACTGACTCCTGATTTTGTGCTTTATTTTATCTGTTTAGATATCAGCATGATTAGATATCTCAAATTTTTTTTGTACTTTACAGTTTAGCTTTGTGTTTATTTCTACAGCTGTGAGCAACATATTGCAAAGAAGTTTGTGGTTTTTTGACTTGTTTGCTGACTGGTTCCCCAACCCCTTGGTCCTAAAATGAATGTCATATGAAATGTAGTCACTGTTTCAATTGGTTTTTCTTTTGTATGATCCCATTTGCTCAAATTACATTCTTTACTGATAATTTTACTTAATTTTGGATTCTGTCATGATAAAACCTGTTACATTCTAAAAAATGCATACAGAAATAATGAATTTTATAAAAATTCATGGCTTAGGTGCTAGAAGCATCTACTCTATGATTCGATGTGAGACATTGCTGTGTAGATTTATCTTTGTGAATTACAGAGACTTGTGTGTATATACTCATACCCAATTCAGCTTGTTTATTGTTTTAGCACAGAAAATTCTGTTGTACTGGAATACAATGTTTGGTTGAGGGCAATGTATTGAAGTTACTGTTTGAGTTGTGAAGGCACAAGAAAAAGGGTTAAGTAGAAGAAAGGTCAATTTACTTGAATAACCTGGTGCCTTTCGGTATTGTGACTGCATTGTAGAAAACACATGTACAAAGACTTAAGTACTTTGCATTCTTTCTAGTGGAAGCATGGACTGATAACAGTTCTTGTTAAAATAACTGTTTACTTTAAATAGGTGTGTAAGCCTCTGTAGGAAAACAGTGACTTTCATTAGTAAATTTGTCACTGCATTGGAAGGGCAAGTTAAAAATGTGATTGTCTTAAGAACTTTCTAGCTTTCTGTTTTATACTTTGAAAATACAAATGTGAATTGCCTTTGTTTTGTTTAGCTTGAAATGTTAAATGCTGTCATTTTCAGTTGTTCTCATGTGAAATTTTATTTTTAATTTCTATCCAAAATGCAATGGGTTTAATATGACTAGTCTTCCTTTTAAGTGTCTGAAATACTCAGTTGTTATGATGTTAGCATTTATATTGCTGATCCAATTAATTTTGCATAAATTGATTAGAATACTTATTTTAAATTTGTAATGATTGAGTTCACAAGGTTAACAAAATTCTGAGGCTAGTAAGAAGCAACACATTGCAAGGTTTCTATAAGCTTGCCTTAACTCTAATAATTGCATGTTTGAAATCATTTTACCTGATGGATTTAGATGGTCTTGAGACATGAATGTAACTGTCTCAACTCAGGTAACTGATAGCAGAGGATAGGAGTAAATCCAGCTGATACTCACCTGCTGTGTAATGTTCACCTGCTCCCATCTTCCCTAGGGCCCCAGGCTGAAATGTTAAGTTTTCTTTAAATGAACTTAGTTGCTTTAAAAACAGAACCAAACCCCAAGATTACGCTTTTGTGGCATTAAAAGCAGAGTTCTCAAAACTTGCTCGTTATGCATCAGAAGGTCATTTTCTGCCATGTCTGTGAAATGGATAATGAGAGTCGCTTGGAGAAGATGATAAAAGATCGTAACAAAGAGAGACTGATTTCTCAGTATTCACCTTAGAAGACTGTAAATAGAGGGATTTCTTCACTTTCGCATTGAAAGCCACCTCTTGCCTTTCTTTAAGCATCTGAACAGCAATCTTCAAAGTTCTTTATGGGAGAGCCCTCTAAAAGACAGACTTCAGACTTGTACCCTAATGAATCTGAAAAAAAGATGTTTCTGCACATAACACTGACCCTTGACAGACTTCATTCCATTGCTGCAGAATTTGAAGATAAGAAGTTCTTCAGCCTTCTTACGAAGGAAAGAAAGAATAAAAGCCATTTTAAGATCTTTGAAAGCCTCCTTGTGACACTTGACTCCCTAATAGACTATAAGGATAGCCATGGACATTTAAATATGTTTGGGTTTGAGCTTTGTGACCATTATTTTTCAGTGTCAAGATCAAAGAAAACTCTTGTCATAACACCTGCCCCTTCCTTTTATGCCTGGTGGTTTTTGTTGGAGAGATTTTGAGTAGGTATTTAGCCACATTGTTTAATACCCTGCCACTTTTAATGCAGTTTTATTCTGTTCATTGCTCTGAATTTTGTCTAAGTAGTCTAAACCTCATGTTGTGTTTTAATATTTCATTTTCTGTAAATAATGTAGTAGATGGCTTTCATTTTGTGACTGGCTTCTTACATCTTTAGTATTGAGGGGAAGAGGCAGTGGAAACAGTTGTTGTTCAAGTGTGTTCTTCAAGGAATAAAAAAAAGCCTCATTGTTTTGTTTTAAGAATAGCAGGAATTTTTTACTCCCAGTTGAATGAGGGGCACTAATGTCCACTTCTAAGGAATAGATTGTTGATGTTATTTATACTGTAGTTTCTCAAGGACTGTCTAATGTGTGTATGTGTACATGTATGTGCACATGAAAACACACTGTTAGAGAAGCCTTTAATGTAATTATTTGTAAGTGTGGATAAGAAATGACATTTTTAAACTACTGAAGCTGGAGTTAAATGCAAATCCATTTTAAGTCTGTAGTCTTTGAGTCCACAACGGTGCTTTTGACAATGTTACCCCATATCTAAAAGCCTCGTTCATAAGGATATATAGTAAGATGTAGGTATGTTTATATGTATGTTTAACATAGTTTATATAAAATAAATGTAAATTTTGTTTCTACAGACAATAAATGTTTTCACGAAATTTTTACTGATAAATAATTCAGTGATTTGATTCAGTAGTTATTAATGTTGGTGTAATTTTCAAGGTAAAAAAAAAAAGCTATTTTCAAAATTTCTTGTGCGGGGAGTGGAAAAGTACAAAAATGTTATATTTTGTTAGTGGCAGTTTTCTGTTTTCATATACAAATTAACTGCCTGAGGTTAGAAGAAGCTGGTTTTGCTTACTCTTTCATTAATAGTCAAGGTGCTCGTGTAAAATGTTACCTATACTTTTTTTTTTTTAAATCTGCGCTTCCCCTCTGCTGCTGTTGTAGGTTTTCTCCCGAGGGTCTTTACCTGTGGAAAGACGTGCCTGTGCAGAGGGCTCCTCACCCTCCTTCCGTGCCTTTCTGTCCAGACATGTTACTGATGTGCAGGGGTTTCACATCTTCCTGCGGTGCCAACAACCCGTGCTCCTGTGCGGCGCTGCTCTTTTTAGTT